CACAATATTTACTGGATGCCTACTGTGGGTCAAGACTCGTGTTGGGAGTTAATATTTATCAGTGAATAAATATGATATAGTACTCCCCTCACAGAGATTAGTAAAGAAAACAGAGATAAAACATGTGATTCTAATAAAGCCAAGAACAGCTGTAATCAGAAGGGAGCCATGTGGTAGGGAATGACCCAGATCTTGTGTAGATCTTGTGTCTGAAGGAGGAAGTGAAGCTCATACTGAGCATAAGAAAAAGGAGACCAGAGAAGAAGGAGTGGGACTGCTCTGAGCAGAGGAATTGGAAGTGGTCCAGGAGGCTGGATCCAGGAGGAGATGGGGAGTAAGGGCGGAAGAGGCTGATCAGGATGACAGAAATCAGACTGTGAATTTGGACCTTACTCACAAGGCAGTGGGAGGATTTTAAGTTGGAGATATGTGGGTCTGGTCCTCAGGAACGAAGTCTAGGATGAAGATATGGATTTTGGAGTCTTCAGGGTATCAGTTAAAACTTCAGGGACAGATGAGTAATATGAGAAAAGAATCCCTTAGACAAGACTTTGAGGAATGCCAGTATTTAAGGTAGAGGAAGAAGAATTGTGAAAAGAGACCAGAGAAATAGGAGGAAAACAACCATGTTGCTGGATTGGGTGGTCCAAGACCTGGCTTAGCTCTGACATTCTGTGGTCCTGCAGAGCTAGAATCTGAGCCAGGTCACAAAAGCAGAGCACACAGATAGGCCATGAGAATAAAGGGCATTCCAAGTAATAGAGCTATATATGCCAGCTTCCCAACAAGAAACAGAGGACACACTCAAACAGAATGACTTGAGAAATTTTTAATAAAGAGACTATTTACAATGATGTGGAGAGGGTTGAGGGAATGCAGCAAGGCAGAATTCTGGCACCAGACAGTAGAGACCCTTCACCACCCCAAGGCCTCAAAGCAGCAATGGAGAGCAGTGGGGGGATGTGACCTTCTGGACCCCACCTCCTTCTCCTCCTGCCCTCCAGTTCCCTGCTGATGTCTCTGGTTCGCCAAATAGAAGCCAGAAAGGACAGGAACCCATTGATGCTATCTAACAATACTGTTCCTGAGGCACAGAACAGGGTGGGGAGTTGGTACAGAGGGGCAAACAAAAGCAATCCAAAACAATTCACTTGGAAATGGAGGGGTTTAGATAAGAGTGTACTGGTTTTGTTTTTAAATATTTTTTGGTTGTCAATGGACCTTTATTTTATTTATTTATATGCAGTGCTGAAAATCGAACCCAGTGCCTCACATATGCCAGGCAAATGCTCTACCACTGAGCCTCAACCCCAGTCCCAGTATACTAATTGTTTTATTGCTGCTGTAACTAAGCACAAATTCAATGACTTATAATTCAGTAACTAAGCACAAATTCAGCACTAATTTTTTGTCTTACACCATTTTAGAAATTAGAAGAGTCTCAGTGGGAGCCGGGCAACTGTGATCCCAGCAACTCAGAAGACTGAGGCAGGAGGATCATGAGTTCAAAGCCAGCCTCAGCAACTTAGTGAGGCCCTAAGCAACTTAGTGAGACCCTAAGCAAGTCTATCTGTCTCAAGATAAAAAGGGCTGGGGATGTGGCTCAGTGGTTAAGTGCCCCTGGGTTCAATTGCTGGTGGTGGTAGGGTGGGGGGAAGAATCTCAATGGGCTAAAATCAAAGTGTCAGCAGGATTGTACTGCTTTCTGGATGTTCCTGGGCTCCTGGCCCCATTCTGTATCTTCAAAGCCAAAAATCGCATCATTCTGATTCTCTGCTTTCTGTCATGAAATTTTGATGTCTGGCTCTTCTGCCTTCCTATTCCATCTTTTAAGAGTTTTGGATTCATAATTACCTAGATAATCCTGGCCAGTCTTCCTTTTTTAAGACCCTTTATTTTATCACACCTGGTCTCTTTTGCTATGAAAAGCAACATACTCACAGGACTGGAAATTAGGGGCTGGACATTAAAAAAAAAAAAAAAAAATATATATATATATATATATATATATATTTGGTTGTAGATGAACATATATCTTTATTTATTTTAATGTGGTGCTGATGATCGAATCCAGCATGTCATATGAGCAAGGCAAGCACTTCATTATTAAGCTACAACCCCAGCCCTAGGGTCTAAGCATTTTTAGGAATCCATAATTCTGCCTACCACAGAGAGCAGACAAACCACTTTGGCTGGAGCAGAGGTCTCTATAGGAAAGTAATGGGAGAGAAAACAGGAAGATCAGATTAAAACCAAATTATGGGGGCTTTGGATGCTAGATTTTTTTGTAGACAAGAAGGAGCCATTGTAAGTTCTTGACAGGAAAGTGGTTTGTTAGCAACCTCCCAAACTGCTGGGATTATAGGCGTGTGCCTCCGGTCCTGGATTCATCAATATTCTTAAAACTTTTTCATGTTCAGAGTTCAACTTTTTAAAARTCACTTTTCAATATCTGTTTTTTCCAAACAGTCTCTCTTCTGAGCCATTAAGAGTGGTAACAGCCATTAACAGTGGTAACAAAATCTGTAAAAGAACTAAACATCATTGATCCTAGGCACTTAAACCTGCTCTGTAATTATGTGGAAATAAGACCTTCCTTTGGGAGTACTACTAAACACACCTGCATTGCCACCTCCCCCAAGGCCTTGCTTCCTAGGTTTTAAAAGAATGTTCCACAGGTGCTCCTGGGGTTTCCTTCCAGATCCCTGATACCCAATGTGCTCTTTTTTTAAAATATATATGTGTGTGTGTGTGTGTGTGTGTGTATACATATATATATACATACACACACATACATATACATATATATGTATGTATACATATATATATTAGTTGTAGTTGGACACAATACCTTTATTTTATTTATTTATTTCTATGTGGTGCTGAAGATCGAACCCAGCACCTTGTATGTGCTAGGCAAGCACTCTACCGCTGAGCCACAACCCCGGTCCCCAATGTGCTTATTTTGAGGCTGGTACTCTTGGTGCTTATGTACATACAGGCAGTGACAAACACATGTTGACTGTTGCTGGTGAAGTGTTTATAGCACCTTATCAACTAAAACAGCTCTCAATTTCAGAATGGTAAATGTGATATTGTGCAACTTAAAAGAGTCCTTTAGGAAGGGTAGTTCAACCAGCTCATTGGATTTGTAAGTGCCTGACAGATGAATTGCATGTCTCATATCATACAATAAATTAGTGATGGCTGTCACCAGAACAAAGTATCTGGGATCAATTTGGTTTCTCTGTCTTTCATAGGACTTTCATTTATTTTTTTACTGAAGTATAGCCATTGAGGCTTAAAATGGAAGGCAAAGGAAGATAGAGCTACATTTCTTGTTGAAAGGATATGAAACCACAAACCTGACCATTGTGAACAGTTGAATTAAGGGGAGGGGACAACATTCTAATGGCCCCTAAGCGGCCTACCTGCAACCAGTCTCTTCCATGGCAGCCCATTCTTCATTCTTTCCTTTTGTACTGTCTTGTTAAAAACAAAYAGGTATGTTGGGACACTCCCCTACTTTAAAAGTTGTGGGGGCTTCAGCAGAATAAGATCCGAGTCTCTTAACATAAGGAAGCCCCTTTATAGATGTCCCATCCTATCTTTGGTTCTTTTCTCTCCTTCCTTCCATGAACCCTCCTSTCTAATCACCCATCTACCTCACCAGCATCAACACTATCAGTTAAATGCATTACTATTTCCTGAATGCAGAGTTATCTTCTATGGAAGCTCTGTAAAATCTTCTGTAAGGGACTGAGTAAAGCTTTCATTTTGATTGAGAGTTTAGGAGTTGGGTGGTATAAAAAAAAGGGAGGTAGCTAAAAGGAGGCTAGTCTAAGGGCATAAAGTAAGAAGAATTAGGGAATGTGGCTTAAAAAMAGGAAATGAGAATAGAAATAGAATGGAAGTAAAAGAGAGGAGAAAAGAGCCAGGTGCAGTGACTTATTCCTGTGGTCCCAGATTCTTGGAAGGCTGAGGCAGGAGGATCACAAGTTTAAAGCCAGCCTCAGCAACTTAGCGAGACCCTGTCTCAAAATAAAAAAATAAAATGGGCTGGAGATATAGATCAGTGGTTAAGTGCATCTGGATTCAATCCCTGGTTAAAAAAAAAAAAGATATTAATCAGAGTAGGATTCTTAGTAGCTTTATATGTAGAACACTTGCCTAGATGTGCAGATTTTGTCTTTTTTGTTTATTTGCAATGCTAGCGATTGAACCCAAGGTCTGACACATACTAGGCAAACACTCTACTGCTGAGTAGACTCTGTCTCAAAATATAAAAGATAAAAATAAAAATAGGGCTGGTGGTGTGGCTCAATAGTAGAGCCTCTCTAGGTTCCATCCCCAGTACTGGGGAGGAGGGTATGGGGGGATAAAGGAGAAAAGAGAAAAGTAGAGAGAGTGATTGTGTGGCCATGGTTTTAGACTCTCACTTAGTTTGATTGCAGGGGAGTTACTGGACAATGCTTTCTCACATAGACTTCCAAGCTCTCTTTCCTGAATGAGTCCCATTTTGTATTCTTTAYATCACTCTCTCCCTGAAAAGACACAAGCATGCTTCTTACAACTGCCTTTTACAATCGATGCATTGTTCTTCCACTGTTTGTCTATGGAAAGCTGGGGAGGCAAAGGAGTAGGTTGAGAAAGCACTCACTACACTGAGAATGAGAGGGCCAGGCACACACATCCTAGCTTCATGACCTTGGGCAAGGCACTTGGTCACCTTCACCCCAGAGTCATCATCTGTAAAATGGGAATGCGAGTATCTGTGCAAGTTTTCTCACAGGATTGTTATAAAGATAAAAAAATAAATATCATATACTATTTATGAAAATACCTTGTAAGCTGTCACATTGCTCTGAGAATGCAGATGAAGGTAATATTACTTTTTCTTTGAATTATTTGTTCCATAGATGACAATGACAATGTAGCACTGTCTTCTGTTAATAAGTCCTGTTTGCAGAAAGAAGACAACAGTATTTCTCTTTTATTAGTGCTAATCTGAAGTCTCAGGAAGCTGGACTACTTCAAGGTGCATGGTCCATGAGAAAGGCATATAAGAAGCTATGGCACTCCCCTTTCAAAAAGAGCTGGAGAAATACAAGAACATTGATGAAGATGAGCTTCTTGGCAAGCTCTCAGAAGAGGAACTGAAACAGTTGGAAAATGTTCTAGATGACCTAGATCCTGAGGTTAGTGACATAGAGCTGGAGTGGCTAATAATAGTACAAGGTAAATAGCATGGCTTGGTCCCTGCACAATAGTAGAAACCCCTCAACTCCAAATGCAAATTCTATCTTCTTTTCTTCAGTTGGTTCTGGGTCACTTTTACAAATTCATAGAGAAGCCAGGCAGAGGCACATGTCTGTAATCCCTGATACTCGAGATGCTGAGGCAGKARGATTCAAGTTTGAGGTCAGCCTTGGCAATTTAGTGAGACCTTGTCTCAAATAAAAAGGTCTGGGAATATAGCTCAGTGGTAGAGTGCCCCTGGGTTCCCCAGTACTGGAAAAAAAATTCATAGAGAACCTCATATAGCCACTATTTAAGATTTGTCAAATATATTTCTCAAAAACCAGTTTAATGTAAATGAGGAAAAATCTTTTCAAATGGTTGGAGAAATGGTAATCAGACTTAGAGGGAAAAAAAGGAGAAAGGATAAATTATACTGAGATTTTTCTTTTTTTTTCTTTCTTTTTTTTTTTTTTTTTGTGATGGGAGTGTGTGCAGATGACAGCACAAGATGACAGCCCAGCCCCATCTTGCACTGTGCCGACTGGGAGCCTTCATGGGAGSGGACCGAGAGCCAGCTGTAACTACAGTACAATGAAGGCCTCATACTGAGATTTTTCAATGTGTCACCAACTTTGCTAGGTGCAGAATCTGTTGAGATAAATCATATTATCTCCCTTTAATAAGTGAAGAGACAGACTTGTATAGGTGATATTATAAATAAGATCCCAGACTAGGAAATGTCTGCTGCGGTAGTATTTAAGACAGGTCTCTAATTCCATATGCAGATTTTTATATCTCATTTCTTTTAAATGAATAATTTGATTATCCTACAATAATTGATAGRTTAGAATGACTATATAATATCAAGTAAATTTTAATAGAGCTTCTAATATTTTTATTTTCAAAAGAAAAGCTAAGTAGCTTGTTATATTGATGGTACTGGTGGTATTATCTTAAGCTTAAAATCAGACACTTTCAAAATAGTGATTTTGTTATAAATAAAAATATAACTAAAATTAATTATATGATATTCTGATATGTCAGATACTTTGGACATTATTTTCATTTTATTTTATTTTGAGATAGGGTCTTGCTCTGTTGCTGAGGCTGGCCTTGCACTTGAGATCCTCTTGCCTCAGCCTATCAAGTCACTGAGATTATAGGCATGTGCCACCATGYCTGGCTTTGTTTTCACTTTAAAAAATACAAGTACAGTCTTTTTTTATTTTGTAAAACTTAAGGAACAAATCTCAAGGCCTAATCAAACAGGTATTGACCTCTAGTATAATAGCCACTTACCTGCCCAGATGCTTCCATTGGAGAGAGGTTGAAAATGTAGCCAGCCATGTTGGCTTCTTATTAGAGTCTCCACACAACTGCCTGAGAGCATCTTGGGCACATAGCTAGCCAAACCTAAGCATGATCGAAAAGGAAAGAGGCCTTGTTACCCATTCTAGAAGGCATCTGCAGAAGGCCCAGAGGCTGCTTCAGCATCTCTGCTGTACTTGAGCTCCTTGGGAGCCCTTCTCTCAGCACAAGGTACTAGAATAAGCAGGGCCTTGGAGATGTCCCAGGGACCCCAACCCTCCGTCCTCACAGGTCTCTGCCCAGGTATCTTTCTCCCTGCTTCCCCACATACAGCAAGGAGGAAAGAGGGAGTGAGTAACAAAGTATCTGTCCAGCAAATATCTTTTCTTCCTGCCCACACCTCTCTGTTTTGTCAGAGTGCCATGCTGCCAGCTGGATTCCGACAGAAAGACCAGACACAGAAAGCAGCCACCGGCCCGTTTGACCGCGAGCACCTCCTCATGTACCTGGAAAAGGAGGCCTTGGAACAGAAAGACAGGGAGGATTTTGTGCCCTTCACTGGAGAAAAGAAAGGTAAGGACCACAGCAGCACCTCATGGGTCAAAGGGACTCTTAACGTACTGCCATGGAGAGTCAAGTGAGGGAMCTGACCTGGAAATGGAAGTAAGCCCATGAACTGCATGTGGAATTTTAAAACAGTGGCTGGTGGATACRTGCCATTCTACATTTGCCCAAACCCGTAGAATGCACAACACCAAGAGTGAACCCTAAGATAAATTATGGGCTTCAGGTGATAATGATGTGTCCATATAGATTTATCAGTTATAMCAAATGTTTCACTGTGGTGCAGGATGTTGTTAGTAGGAAGGTTTGGGGTATAGTGGAATTATCTGTAGTTTCTGCTTAATTTGATTGTGAACTTAAAACTGCTTTAAAAATTAAAGTTAGTTTGTTTAAAAGGAAAAATATTCATGGCAGACTGTAAAAGCAAATTAAATGAATATTTAGGGTGTGATGATCTCAAATTAGTCCAATGGAGAAAAAAATCTAACTCCAAAGAAAAAGTTTTGAAAACGTGAAACAGCTTGATGGAGTGTTCCAGMGACACTGGGGTGCTTTACTAACTGCTGAAGCCCCCACAAAGCCTTTCCACTCCCTGCCTAAGATGGCTGTAGCACCACACCCCTAATCTTAGAGCTATGCTGATAGGCTCATGCAGTCCTTCCTTCCTTCATCTGGCATTTGTTGAGAACCTTCCCTATACAGAGCCAGGTACYGAGTACTGGGACTACCGGTGCCTTAAGACCCAGCCCTGATCTTAAGGAACTTATGGCCCTCAGGAAGATGGGGCTGGGAAAGCTGTAAGGAGCAAGGGGATATATCTCCACGCCAGGCTGAGCTCTGAGCCAAGACAAGGAGACTGTTAGCTTCAAGCCTGAGCTCCCGTTTGGAGGAAGAGTGTATGATATCAGTTGCCTGTCAGCTTCCTCAAGTACAGTCAGTCACTTGGACCCRTGTCTCTTTGGTGATCCTATAGTAACTAGAGTATTTTAAAATACAAATCAGATCATATCACTTTCTTGCTTTAAGTCCCAGATCCTTAYTGCAATTTTCACAGTGGGTCTAGACTCCACCCCCTGTCAGAATGCATCTCTTCTTCCTTACTAAGCTTCAGCCCCACTCACTGTCTGCGTTCACTTCCCCAAACCTGCCCAGTTCTTTTACATCTCAAGTTGTCTTCTCATGGACTCTTCCCTCTGACCCATATCCCACTTTTCATATCCTAAGGCTCTCAGCTTAGCTATCAGTACCTCAGGTCTTCCATGATCTCTAGATGATATAGTCCCCTTGATTCCACCATGGTACCTGGGTATTGCTGTCACAGAACTGTGATAGTATTCATCATTTTATTTATTTACTTTGGTGTGTTTTCCACATCAGATTGAGATTTCCACAGTGGGTCTGGGTCATTTTGTGTCCTGGCACAGAAATCAGCCCAAGGGGAGCACTTGATAAGCGTGGGTTCAAGTGACTGCCATCTCTGAGCCTTTGTACCAAGGCAGTGGAAAGCAGARCACCTGTCTTCTCAGTTGGCATGAGTCAGCAGTACTGCTGTCCTCCATATTGTGCGTATTTAATGGATCATACCCTATTAGAATGTCATTTAAAAATGTCATTTAAAGTTGAACAGTAGAAGAACTGGATCAATAACCAGAGATTATTGTGGAAGTGTGGAGCTGTTTCTGAAGCCCCACAGTTGCTATTGGACTAATTGAATTGTAAAAAAAAAAAAAAAAAAAAAAAAATTGTTAAATATTTGATAAAACACCAATAAACATCAAGTATTAGGGTAGTGGCAGCATAATAAGGGGAAAGCTGTTGCCTGTTGTTCCTGGAGTAGAGGTCTGAGGAGCCTCTAAGGTAGATTATCTCTTGATCCAAATTAAGCTGCAGGTGGATCATGGGGAGTTAGGAATGCAGGAGCTAAGTATAAAAGGGGGGTATAGTCATACTGCAGCTGAAAAGGATGGGAAGTAGCACAGTTCAAATGAACAGGGAGCAAGTTTTCCAAACAGAGTGGTGGGATCAGAAAGAAGTATGTAGTACCCCCAGAAGGATGAGCAGAATCATCTAGGAGTGGCAGGAGRCTATGTGAGGCGGAAGTGAGGTCCTCAGGAGAAATCCACACCTTAGTTCCTGATGCAGCCTGAAGGAAGCTGCCCCTAGAGTCCTGGGGCCAGATTTAACTGTTCAGTGCAGCTTCAGTACAGATTTAACTCTTGCAGTGCAGGAACRATCTGCATCAGCATTGCCCTGAACACTGGTAACTATTGGGTCACTTGTATGCCTCATGTTTAGGGTAATCCTAAGCAGTACTGGGTAGAAAGAATTAGAAAACCTGTTTTGACTCTATATGCAAGATCATATGAGAGGCTAGGGTTGTGGCTCAGTGGTAGAGCGCTTGCCTAGCACATGTGAGGCGCTGGGTTCGATCCTCAACACCACGAAAACATAAATAAAGTAAAGGTATTGTGTCCATCTATAACTGAAATTTTTTTAAAAAAATCATCTGAACCAAAAAGGAAATGTTTCAGGCTTGCAGATACTATGAAAATTAAGTTTGCCATGAGCACCAATGGCTGAGATGTTATTGATTGGTTTGCTTTATTTCTTCATTTTTTAATCTTCTGGTCATGTTCCCACTTTGTCCCCCAGTATTTTTTCCTTCTTTCTGGGACAGGTGGCAGGTGGTGCCTGACAGGTGGTGCCCAGAAACAGGATGTATGTCAGTGATGGAGGCCCTGCTGCCAAGGTGCCCCAGACAGCCACAAGTAGCTCCCTCCTTTCCCTTCTGGGGTTCCCAGCTCTGGCTCCCATTCATTTATCCAGTCGTTTGATAAAATGGTAAATAATAAGGAAATATTCAACCCCTATGATCAAGGAAATCTCCTGGAAGGTTTTCATGAGAGAGTTATTAACTTTGGGTTTGACCTTTCCTTTCCCATAGCAGTAGATGGGCCAGGCCAGCTGGGGAGACCTGGAAAGGGTCTGTGTCCCAGTTGGCTAAAACTGGAGCCAGCTGTCTGTTCTATCCAAGGTGACAAAGACAGTAGAGGGGTGAGTCTTAGGGGATTCTAAAGATCAAAAAGGGAAGAGACTATTTCAAAGATCATGTCCAAGAAGTCAGAGCAGCTCCGAAAAAGAATGAAGACTCAAGTCAAAACCTGGGAAGAACTGAAAGGGAATGCAGGTGGGTCTAGGGTATGCGATAGCAATGGCTCTAGAATATCCTGGGTTTACCTTTCAGCCCTTGCATATGTGGGATGTGGGATGTGGGTATGTTGGCCTGATGGAAGTTAGGAGCAGGTACTATGCCATCCTTCTAGCAGTGTGATTTGTCAATCCWTAAGTTTGGGCTAAAGAGTAAAGAATACAGATTGGCATTTTCTGAGGTAAGGGGTGGTAATAAATGGAATCTGAGTGACAGGCTGAAATGGGAACTGTTGGCAGAGAGTGCATCTATGGGAAGCAAGGAACGCCTTGCTACTCATAGATCCCCATCTCTAATTATAGAGACCCTGGTTTTTCCCTAAAATCAGGCTTGTTTGATGTACTGTGTCCCCAGGTCACTGTATTAGTCCAGCTGATCACAATTGTAGCTCCCCATGTAAATGTAAAGGGAAAACTCTGGGAGATCATCAGTTCCTAGTACTGTCTGGATGGTCCTGCCCCCAGTATTTACAAGGTCCAAAGCAAAAACATGAATAGAGGGGCTGGGGATATGGCTCAAGCGGTAGTGCGCTCGCCTGGCATGCACGGGGCGCTGGGTTCGATYCTCAGCACCACATAAAAAAATAAAATAAAGATGTTGTGTCTACCGAAAACTAAAAAATAAATATTAAAAAATTCTCTTTCTCTCTCTCTTAAAAAAACACTTGAATAGACCCACATGCCATTTTTCCCCAAACATTTAAAAAGCTAACAAATCATTAAAATATATGTATTCTCCTAATATACCTAGAAGGCCAGAATTCTTGGACTAACAAAAATTCTATGCAGGACATCAGGCTGTTCTATGCTGCCAGCRTCTCAAGTACACACCCTGGCCCACACATTTAAGCTTCATCCATACTTCCCCCAAGGGCCCTTTTATTGTCTGGGAATGCAGGATGGGCTGCCATCAAGGACATGGRTATGGACAGGAGCCCATGGAAGCAGGCTCAGGACTTTGGGAACAGAGAATGTCAAGATCCAAGAGGCCTGCAGTGCGGTCTAGCATTCTGGAGGGAATGTCCCTTTGGCCTTTRTCCCTTTGGATTCTTGGTAGAGAGAGATGTAGTCAGAAGAAGACTGGAGAGGGGCCTTCAAAGGTGCAGAGCCCAGAACAGGGCTCCCCCTGCCTAAGGCAGTGCTACAGGTGATAGGCAAGTAGAAGCCATCTTTTTCCTCAGTGTTTAAGAACTATTTTTCAAATTTCTGTGTGACTTAATACAGGATTYCTCCTCTAATATTCCTTGTGTCTAATGGTAGATTATTGACTGTCTAGAGGTTCAGCAGTCTCAGTTGGTTATGAAATAACTTAATAATACAGGTCTTAATGGCCACAACTGCACTTTTTGCTCAATCCACTTACCCTACCAATAAGGGAGTATCACACAACATTTTTTTTTTTTCCCTTCTGATTTAAAGGAAGAGTCTTCATTCCCAAAGAAAAGCCTGTAGAAACTCGTAAAGAAGAAAAGGTGACCCTGGATCCAGAACTGGAAGAAGCCTTGGCCAG